TGGAACATAATATTCATAGGTATGTTTTCATTAGTGTATAACTATCATGTTTCTACAGTAGCCCAGATTTAAAAAAACAAACACTGGCCCTTTAGCATTTTTTTCAGCGTTGCAGCCACCGTTATTTAAACTTCGCACTTGGTTGGATGAAGGGGTTTTTGTTCTGCAATCTCTCCGCTAGGTGCCACAAAATCCTACACTGTTTCTTTAAATAGTCCTATAATATTATATGTAGTAAACAAAAAAGAGAACAGTGGTAAGAGTCAATTGCCAAGTTAGTCAGTTCATACTGACAAGTGCATCTGGCAGTTAAACAGACTGGGAATCAGTTATAGACAAAGCTATGATTGGTTCAAACATCTTCTGGTTTCAGAAGGCCTCGAATTTTCCATGTTCTAATCCTGTGTCTCTGTGTCAAATGTCCAATTGTCTCTTTTTATATATACTAACTATAATGTATATTGTATATATTTTTATGTATCCATATTTATTCCAAAATATTATTTGGGACAACTAGCTAACCCCATCCATCATATAAAACTGCACTTGACCGTAAGCTTACACCATGTGTTAAATGTTTAAATGTCAGAAAAAAATGTGTTGTTGGGGTAATTTGTCCCTCATAAAGATCTTAGTGGCATCTAGCAGTGAAACTGCAGATTGAAGAATCAAAGAAGAAACAAAACAAATCCCATAGGGAAAAAGGCAAAAGGCTAAGTCAGGAAACTATCACAGATCAAAATGACCAAGAAAGCTAAAACTAAAAGTAATGCTGGAACACAACACTAAGAACAAAGATGAACTGGCAAACCCACATGGCAACAGACAGACTACATACACTAGGGAGGGAAGGATGGGGGGCAGGAGGTGAATTGTCTGAAACGAGAGAAGAGATGAGCATACAAAAAAAAAGACAGTAAAAGCCAAAGGACCTATCTGGAGCCAGTGTTTGATTTGTCCATTCTGGGCTACTGTATAGAAGAGTTTAGGATCAGCTCCCTCTGTAGATAAAAAGTTTTTATGCAGCGGCTCAGGGTTTGAATCCGACCTGCGGCCCTTTGCTGCGTGTCATCCCCTTTTGCTGCCCCCCTTTCCTGTCTGTCT